AGTATCAGTTTGGGGCCTCCCAAACTGCAGTGGTTGAGTGCTGGGCTACGAAGCTGTTGAGTGGTGCAGTGGTTGAGTGCTGCGCTACGAAGCTGTCCGCAGCCTCTGCAGCGCCGGTTTGATCCCCGGCCACGGGGTGAGGGTCCCACATGGCGCGCAGACCTCTCCTGCTGCCCGCTGCTCCCTCAGCAGTGTATTTCAGTCAGTCTGCCTGTTCTGTTCCCCACTCTGGCTCTGGTGAATTCTCTCACTCTCTCACCCTCCCGCACTTCTGACTGTACCCAGTGCTTGTATAAATAAATTGAGAAAAATAGTATCAGTTTGTAATATAAAATAGCAAATGTATCCATCAAGAGATTGGGCCAGAAGAAGGCTCCCTATGAAGTAAGGAAAGATCACCAAGATACACTTTTAAGTAAAAGGCACAAGATGCAAGTGGAATATGATCAGTATGCAGACTTTCATGTAAACAGACACACACAACAAAAAAACAGGAGTGGGCCTCCCCTGGTGGCGCAGGCGGTTGAATGATCCCGGCCGGCCAGCAAGGGTCCCACATGGCGAGGCAGACCTCTCCTGTCTCACCCGCTGCTCCCCTCAGCAGTGTATTTTGTCAGTCTGCCTGTTCTGCTCCCCGCTCTGTCTCTGGTGAATCCTCTCACCCTCCCACGCATCTGGCCTGTACCCCAGTTCTTGTATAAATTAATAAATAAATCTTAAAAAAAAAAAAAACAGGGAGTTATTTTTCTTTGGTTTTATTTTCACAAAATATAAAAATGAAAGGAGTGGTAAGAAACTACAAAGAATACCTATGAAAGAGTGGAAGATGGTGGGGGAAAGAGACACAGAAATGGGTAGCTGTAAACACAAGATGACAGTTTTACCTAAAATGCTTCTTTATTTTAATACTGACATTGGGCTTTCAAAAAAGGAATAATTAGAATGTTTTTATCTGACCAAGAAATACAAAATTATTTCTGTATAATTCACATAATTCCATTTATGTGAAGAATAGGTAAAACTAACTCATGTGATAGAAATAAATACCTTGTGGGAATAATGACTAAGAAGAATGAGGACACCTTGGTCACTGGAATGTTCTATACCTTGATCTGGGTGATGGTTACATGAGCAAAGATAGATAAAAATTCACCAAATCATACAAATAAATTAGTACACTTAGTGTACTTTTCTTCACTGTATTACACTTCAATTCAATTTTTAACTATCAAAAATGTTTCTGAGGAATATATAACAAGATAAAAAGTTTATAGTGTTAAAGAAAAAAGGTAGGATTTTACACTGATAGGGAATATAAGTATACTTCTGATTATGTTAGGGGAAAAGAATGTCCTAAAGCTAATTCCATATAGGCTTTGTGGACTCCATCCCCACCCCAGGCCAAAGCCAAAGACACTGGGAACTCCAAATCCCATCACCACCAAAGGGAAGGTGGCTGGAACCTGAGGATGGGGTTAAGCAGCCAGGTTGGAATAAAGCCAGACACGTGGGTTTTGGAGGGGTCCCCCATTTTGACTCTCCACCAGCTCTCAGCGTCCGGCCAGCACTGAGAGTGCCTTTGGGTTTCCAGGTCGGCGGATCGGGTAGGACGCATTAAAGACTTTATTTCCCTATTTTCTCCCTGAGTTGTACATTTTCCTTATTTCCTTTTCCCTTGTAAATAAACCTTTTATTAACATTTTGTGGGTGCCTGTAGTGGAGTATTAATAAGTCCCTTTTAAGCGCGCAGGCGAGGACCCACAGCGAGGCAACCTGTTCAATATCAGGGCTGCCCTATAACAATTAGAGCTAAGTGGAAGGGAAGATAAGGATTAAAGAAAATATACCAATATGGTAACACAAGGTGGTAGAATTTCCTTTACACATTATTGTATTTTCAAAATTCTCTACAGCTATTATATTGTGTGTGTTTTTCTTCAATTCAGTTAAAGTACCAACTAGAGTTGGGGTTTAAGGGCATAAAAATTAAATTCCTCACATTTAAAGAAAAGAACCTCAAAAAGTTTAAAAGACAACAACATTATATGAAATGAAGTGAGTGACAACTACAAAGAACCAGGTTAACACTGAGTTCGCAAACATAGCCTATTTTACAAAGAACAAGATGTCCCAGAAAGGAGGGGGCGGGAGGACAACCCTAAGAATTCCTAGGAATGCAGAGAAACCATTGTGCTGAAGATTCAGAGACAGGAAATTATAAAGTTGCATGTTTTCACACTGATAATATAAGAGCTGAAATCTGTTTAAAACTGTAAAGGTTCAGCTTTTAAGGTACCTCTGCTCTGGGTTTCCCAATACAAAAGATTTTAAGAATCCAAAGAAGGTAGTAAAATAATGAATAGCTAGAGACTAATTTTTAGGGAGGAAGTAAACTAATCCAGTAGCAAATTAATTGTACCTTTAGTAAGTTTTCCCCCTTCCCCCCGCAAACAAAGCATTATTAGATATAAGGTATCTTCTCTTAGTTCTTGACAATTAGAATTCACATTTTAATCCTCACTTAGTACAAGTAACTAACTCTAGATCCTCTTCCACTATTTTAAGTGAAGATTATTTTTATGGTATTAATTTCTAAAGATCAAAAAGAAGAACCATTCATACACTGCGCTGTTAAGCCCTTTAAATGCAGCATTGAACATTTCTACTTCAGCAGCTACATTATCAGAATGAAACTAATTCAAACAGAATACTGCCTAAAACCAGAGAAAGGAGAGTAAAAGGCTGCATCTTTTGTTAAAAGTAAATTCCTGAGAATGTGGAATTAAATTCAGCAAAGTGAACTTGGGAAGGGGAAGGGACTAAAAGGAAAAGCAAAGTGCCCAAAACCACTTTCACATAACTTATTTCAAATGGCCTTTCTTGGGCTGTTTAGCTGGAAAAACTGAAGGAAGAGGAAAATAAGGAATTTTCAAGTGATCAAGTGATATGAAATATTCATGTGCAAAAAAGAAAACATTCATGTGCTCAAAAATCAAACATCTTCTATTCAACAGATGACTCCACATTTCATGCAACAAAACATTTATTAATACAGAGAAACTATGGGATACACATAACCAACAGGCTGGGATCAAATTCCCAGAGATTCAATGAGAAAGCATTACAAAAACCACGCCTTTTCAAAAGCTAACTCCTTTCAGCTTCATTAGCATTTCCTCCAGAAGCAATTATGATTGTCTTTTACAAAATTATCAAAAAAGCACCTAGAACTGATTAAACCTACATGGCAGTAAAAGAAAATAAGAAACCAAAGTTCACTGGACTCTACCACAGCGCTAGTCTCTCTCTCTCTTTTTTTTTAAGGGCTCTCGAAACTGTAAGTAAACAAATCCAACAGCCAGTGAAAACTGACACACCCAGAAACTCTCATCGAAACATTTACTTCATAGTTCACAACAGACTGTCCTATTCCATCTACAGGTGGCCTTGCCTGGAGCTAAAGGTCAAAAGAAAAACACTCCTTAACACCTTCATGCTTTATGGAAGGGGAAAAAAAAGCAGGCTCGGAGCAGAAGAGAGGAACAACAGGAACTAACACTTCAGTGGCACATACACTGATTTTCCTAAGAGACTTCATTCTTGCTTAATTAGAAAGAAATTCATCTACTATTTCTAGATTTCTTGAAAACTCAAGACGTACAGGACAGTCGGGCTAAAGGACCCTTCAAAATGAGGCATATCTTTATGCCTGACATGATCAGCTGTGACCCCCCACTTTCTCCTTCTCCCCACCTTTCCTCTCCACTCCACTCACCAAAACAAATCTACCCTGGAAACTAGTGTCCAGGAGGCTTAATTGACTGTCATGGCAAGAATCAATCTCCTCAAAGAAACCTATAGTGACAGTTGCTGAGGTTGCTTCTAAGAGAATTCTATCAGAGAATTTCCAAGAAAGAGGCCCACTCCAAATATCTCTAAAGACAGATTAGGCACCAGTAAGAGACATTTGGGAGACGTGTCTGGAGAGAAGGACTTTCTGGGCCCTCAGCAAATCATATCAAAAAAGGGAGCCAGGGCCTCCCCTGGTGGCGCAGCGGTTGAGCGCTGGGTTGCGAGGTTGCCCGCAGCCTCTGCAGCGCCAGTTCGATCCCCGGCCACCAGTGAGGGTTCCACAGAAAAAAAAAGGGAGCCAGCCAGGGCCTCCTCTGGTGGCGCAGGCGGTTGAACGCAGCGCTGCGAAGCTGTCCACAGCCTCCGCAGCATGGGTTCAATCCCGGCCATCCGGCGAGAATCTCACATGGCGCGGCAGACCTCTCCTCGCCCGCTGCTCCCTTCAGCAGTATACTTCAGTCAGTGTGCCTGTTCTGTTCCCCACTCTGTCTCTGGTGAATCCTCTCACCCTCCCATACATCTGGTCTGTACCCCAGTTCTTGTATGCATGAATAAATCTTTAAAAAAAAGGGGGAGCCACCCAGTGATAGGATTAACAGTATACACAAAAAAGGAAATTGTTCTAATCTCTCTCTCTCTCTCTCTCTCTCTCTCTCTCTGCCTCACCAAAGTATTCCACAAATAGTTCAGAATTATTCATTTCATGTGATTTGCCAGGCTATTAACCAGATAAAAAGTTTAAAGGTTTGCCACCTGTTACCACTCCAAAAATACCCTTGCCAACCTTGACCCAAGACAGCAAGCATCCTGCGCAATGGTGTTTCCCTCCAAAATTATAAGCAGAAAAATAAAAGGGAACAGGGGAAAAACTGTTGTTTTGCATAGGCCCAGGTCTTTCTTTCCACATGATTCCTCTTCAGCGCCTAGATTCACCTCTTAAAAATGGAAATATGACTTTACCTTGTAGTAAAACATTTTGTACTTATCCCACTTTCTTAAAGTTCTGAGTAATAGTGACAGCACCACTTTTGCAACATATGCAAACAGTAATTCTAAACTTGAAGCACTAAAAGTCAAGTTTAAAGACAGAACCCTGGGGATTAAATGAATAATTGGGTGTTTGCTTTTTTTTTTTTTTTTACACTTACCCACTCTTCAACATCAGGAGGCTGTTCATCATAATGATGTTCCTTGTCCCACAAAATATTTGACTTGTCATAGCGGTCCATCTTTCCTCGGGTTCGTACAGCAAAGAAAATTATTAAAGCAAAAGCCACAATAACCATGAACCCCAATACAATGGCAATGGCCTAGAAAGAAATTAAAGGTATGAACATAATTAGATTTTGGCTACTCACTTTATCCCCACCCACCCTCTACGAATTATTCAAATCTTCATTTACCTTAGACCTTACTAAACAGCTGTGGTTAATTGATATAAAACTGATGCAAATGGTTACATTTTCAGAATAAGAGGGGAAAGTAGGTAATATAAAGCCCACGCCACTTGGGCTAAAGCTAATAAAACACACACACAACCCGATTCAATCCTCAGAACAGGCTTAAAGTCAGGTACTAGCATCCCCCCACCTTAGAACTACAGAAAATTACTTTCAAACCTTGAGCACCATTGGGCCACATTTTAATAAAGAGATAGTAATGGCCAGTAAATTAATTGATACTTTTGAAAGGCTGTATAATGGTCTCAAAAGTAGCTTTTAAAATCCAGTCATTGTTAATAATTTTGTTCTTAACACACGCTTTGGCAAATGTTTTATACCAAAAAGGCATTTTCAATCTAAAAAGGACCTACTTTACCATAAATTATGCAGACATGATCTAACGGAGCTATAAATTAGAGAAAAGGGACTAAATAAGTCATTTATTATGGCAGGTTTCTCTATTTTAGAAATCTTTTGTGTACTTACTAGCAAGGCTCCTGGGACAAGTCTTCCCAGTGTCTGATAGGTTTATTAAGTGATACACTGGAACTAGGCACTTGGAATTGAGGCAGGTACAGGACTCTGCCCTGGATGTCTACTAATGGGTATCAAGATCTCGCTTTACAGTGATATCCTTTCCCAAAAAAGACAGGTTTGGGGTGTTCAAGGATGGGAGTGTGATAAATAGGAGCACAAACTCTCAGTCTTATTTAGCACAGTACATATGAATGTCAACAACATTCTGACAATCTACATTTGCAGAAAATACATTTCAGTCTTCAAAATAACAGTAGTTATTGTAGAACATCTAACCCCAAAATCAAAAGAATGATTCATTCAGGTAAAAGAATGGGATTCCTGAGATAGTGTAAGGAATGATTAATGACCCAAAACGATTTTCCTAAAATAACTAGGGTGACACATAGTTACTGAAGGCAGAGTTCCCAGCACCACCTGCATATATGAATCACCTGGAGATTTTTTAAAAATACTGAATTACACTCTGACGATTACAAAACACTTTGTAAAGACCTAAATAAATGGAAAGACAGCCCATGTTCATGGGTCAGGAGACTTACTGTAAAGATGACAATACTCCCCAAATTGATCTATGGGTTCAATGTAAGCCTTCAAAACCCTAGCCTGCGGTTTTTTGTTTGTTTGTTTTTTTTCCCAGAAACTGATTGACAAATGAGCCTAACATGCATTTGAAAATGCAACAACTCAAAAACTAGCCAAAACAAAGTTGGAGGATTCCCACCTCTCAATTTCAGAACTTATTACAAAGCTACATTAATCAAGACAGTATAGTAGTGGCATAAGAACAGAAATATATATAATGGAATCATATTGAGATCCAGAAATAAATCCTCACATTTATGATCAATTCATGATTGACAACTACATGAAGACAACTGGAGAAATAGTGCTTTTATCAAATAATACCAAGATTTCTGGATATATACATGCAAAGACTATTGAACCCCTTTCTTATGCTAAGTGCAACACGAACTCAAATTAATCATAGACCTAACTATAAGAGCTAAAATTATAAAACTCTTAGAAGAAAATGGGGCTAAATCTTGGTGACCTTGAATTAGGCAAAGTCCTTAAATGTGACCAAAGAAAGCATAAGCAACAACAGAAAATGAAATTACACCGCCTCACCAAAATCGAAAAAAGTAAATAATTAGACCTCATCAAAATTAAAAGTCTATGCAAACAGGGCCTTCCCTGGTGGCACAGCAGTTGAGCGCTGGGCTGCGAAGCTGCCCGCAGTCTCTGCAGCTCCGGTTGGATCCCCCACCACCTGCGAGGGTCCCACGTGGAGCGCAGACCTCTCCTGCCACGCCCGCTGCTCCCCTCAGCAGTGTGCTTCATCGGTCTGCCTGTTCAGTTCCCCGCTCTGGCTCTGGTGAATTCTCTCACCCTCCAGCACTTCTGACTATACCCAGCGCTTGTATAAATAAATAAATCTTTAAAAAAAAAAAAAAAGTCTATGCAAACATACAGAAAATGAACAGAGAATGACAAAACGGAGAGAAAGCATTTGCAAATCATGTATAAGGGATATGCATTCAGATAAAGAATTCCTATGACACAATAATAAAAATACAAATAGCCCAATTAAAAATGGGTAAAGATCCTGAAAAACCATTTCTCCAAAGGAGATATACTAATGGCCAATAAGCACAAGATAATATGTTCAACATCATCAGCTATCAAGGCAATGAAAATCAGTACTAAAATGAGATACCACTTGAGAACAATTAGCATATCTAGAATGAGACAGACAAATGTAATACTGGTGAGAATGTGGAGAAATTGAAAATGTCATACATTTCTGGTAGATGGAAAATGATGCAACCCTTTTTTGGAAAGCAGTCTGGTAGTTCTTCAAAAGGTTAAACTCACGATCACCATAAGACCCAGCAATTCTACCCCTTGGCATAAAATTTTATTTAGTTATTAAATTAAGTTCACACAAAAACTTGTACACAAATATAGTGATTATTCCTAACAACCAATGTGGAAATCATCCAAATATCTATCAACTGATCACTGGATAAACAAAAAGTGGTGTATCCAAACAATATTCTGCAATAAAAAGGAGTGAAATACTACATACCATACCATGAATGAACCTTAAAAATGATAATGCTAAGGAAAGAAGCTAATCATAAAAGAGCACATATTGTATGATTCCATTTTTATGAAATATCAAGAATAGGCAAATCTATAGGATTAGTGGTTACCTAGGTCTAAAGAGGGTTAGGGATAGGAGGAAAGATTGCTAGTGGTTATAGAGTTTCTTTTTGGTGTCTGTGAAAATGTTCTAAAATTGACTATGGTAAATAAAAGTTGTACAATTCTATAAATATAAACATATTAAAAACACTGAACTATTATTTAAATGGATGAATTATATGGTATATATTAATGACATCTGACCCCTTTCCCCAACTCTGATTTAAGTAAAAGTGGGCTTCAGTAAATTTTTTCAAGGTTCTAAAGTGATTCCAAATTGAGAATCTTGGACCCAAGGAGAAAAAGAGAGGAAAAGAAACAAAATTACTCATACCTCCTGGGGATCCACCACACAGTAGTGATACAAATACTGATCCACATAGAGTCCTGTAGGTGTAGTTGCGTAGAATTGGTTGCAGAGGGCATATATTTGTGAGCTGTACATAGATCCGGAAGCTTGGGCAGTTGGGTTGACTCCCATTATATAGACAATTGTGGCAATAAACACCATGATGCCCAGGATAGCACTCATGATTATCACCGTTAAGTAGTATCTTCTTGTTCTAGATATTTCCGATCTTATAACGCTGGTAACAAATATTACTAATGCAGCAATAAAACAAAAGGCAGCCATGGTCAGCAGGAAGCCCTTGGCTGCTCTGGGATCTGTATAACTTCCTCCATAGCCATAACCATAGCCATAACCATAGCCATAGCCACTTCCGTAGCTACCAAAGCCACTTCCATAAGGGTAGCCTATACTACCTCCTAGTATGCCAGTTCCATAGCCTCTATCCCAGGCAAGTGTCGAGGCAACACAAGCAAATATGGCAATGCACATGACAATGATGAGCATAGACAGAATCCGAATTACTCCTGGAGGAGAGGTCCATTTGTAGAAGTGAAGAATTTCATCCTCTGGGTAGAAAGAATATGCCGGCTGAGAGAGCATTGGTCGAACATGCATCTCTCCACCATATATGTCATTGCTTGGAGCATAATGACTGGGTTTGCTGAAACACACATGAAAACAATTGCAAGTTAGCACTTTTGGGTGGTAAACAGAAAGCATGTATAAAGTACTGTAACTAATTTAAACAAACCATTGTAAATGAAACTTATCAGCAGTACTCCTTCACTGCAACGAAGCAATTTGTGACCTCCCCCCACAAAGTCAAATATTGCAATTCCAGCCCCAATATGATAGCATTAGGAATGAGGCCTTTGGGAGGTAATTAGGTCATGAAGGTGAGATCTCATGAATGGGTCCTCAAAAAAAGAGGCCAGAGAACTCACTCACCTCTTCCCAGAGGACTTAAACCCCAAAATGTGAGAAATAACCACTCTGTCCACGGTACTTTGCTATAGTAATCCAAACTGACTCTGGCACTCACTGAACAGTAAGTTATCAGTTAATCAGAATCACCTGGAGGGTTTGTGAAAACACAAATTGTTTTCCCCAAGTTGCTAATTTTTCAGTTTTTGCTTATCCAGACCAGTTTCCAGATGATGCTGATGCTGCTGGTCTGTGAATTGTCCACTGAGAATGACTGTTCTAGTTTCTATGGAGTAGAGGCTCCCAAATTTCACTGCATATTAGAATGACCTGGGAAAATGTGTCTGATGCCCCAGATGGAGCACTCCTTACCAGCAGAATCATAATTCCTGAGGATGGACCCAAGCAGGTTAGAACAATGGTGTCAAACTTACTCCCTGTGTGTCTTGAGACTGGTGCATTCAAATATGACACCTATACTTGCCTACCCATGGTCATGAGCAATTCCTGGCAAACTCACTTTCCTCCCTAACTAAGCACATCGATTCAGGTCTTCATCTGAGAGCTGTTTACTATGGCTGTCGGCTGAGGTTCACTGGAGACACAGCAATGGACAGTGCCACAGTCCAGCTCCCACAGAGTGTGGTCTGTCAGGAAAGTAGCACATTAACCAATTCCCGACATGAGTTAAAGTCTTTTATGATAACAGTTATAAAATAAATCAAATATACAAGAGCCTATCGGGGTGATAGCTCCAAAATATATCTTGAAGCTCCTTTATAAACATACCTGATGAACTCAGTAATTTAATTACTGAGTAATTTAATTACTGTCTGCTTGTGACAGACACAATGAATCTAAAAAGAAGGGGGCCTGAGAAGGCAAATTCCTAAACTAAAATTCAATTCCTAAACTAACCCCAGTGTCTTTTGTTTTTACTATCATTTCCAGATGACCTTGCTTTACTCCAAAGTAAGACATCTTCAGATAAAACCAAACTGATAATAAACTCTTGACATCTGACTATAAAACTAAGGCAGCCAGAAGGGCAGAGTGATGGGATGGGCAGGGTAGAGTGATGGGATGGGAGGGGAAGGGAAGAGATCCAACGGAATATGTGGATGACTATTGGGACACTAGGGGTAGGCATGGTGTGAAAACGCAAAACACGCAGAGGTTTGAAACTATAATCCCAAAAGCAGATACAATGATGTAAACCAATTTTACCTCAATAAACATAATTAGGGAAAAAAAAGAATGAAAGACATCTTACTACTGGGTGCTAACCATTAAATTCAAAGAATTTACCTGAGTATATGAGAAGGTGAATAAAAAGGAAAGAGAAACCAGGGAGAATGCTAAGCTGGTCTTTGAAAATGTGAAGTATGAAAATTCTACAGCCCATTCATTCTACTTGCATATTTGGGTTCTCTCCTTTTGGAGCTGCCCTGAAGGAAGCTTTGAATATTCATGAACATGCATTATGGTACACACAAGCACTTATTTTTTTAGGGTTTATAACCAGAAATGGAATATCTGGTCACAGATTTTTTTTTTTTTGTACCTTCAAATCTACCAGACAACATCAAACAGTTCTCCAAAGTGATGGTATCACTCATACATCCACTAACGGTATGATGTTCACAGCAGCATTGTTTATGATAATGCAAAACTGGGAACAGAGCAAATATTATCTACAGTAGAACAATAACTGTGATATATCCACATAGTGGAATGCTACAGACCTAGCCTATCTAACAGGGTGGCCATGAGCCACGTGGATCTACTGAGTATTTGCAATATGGGTGGGCCAAACTAAGATGTGTTGTTCAGTGTAAAGCACCAAGAGATCACAGGTGTAAAAAAACAATATAATACCACCAAGAGAAAACCCTAATGTTAACTATATATTTTGAATATTAATGATGTGTCAAAGTAGGTTCAACATTGTGGTGGGGGAAGAGATAAGAGAAGAGGTAATGCATGTGTGAGGGCAGGGGGCATATAGTAAATCTCTGTCTCTTTCTCTCAATTTTACTATGAACCTAAATCTTCAGAAAATTAAGACTAAAAAAAATGCAAACTATCTCATGAATCAGTATTTGTCGAGATGTGTTTAATATACTGGGTTAAGAAAATAGATTAAAATTAATTTTTTTAATATACTTACAAGAAAATGTAAAATGAAGTACAAACATGAACAAATGTCAGAAGTAATGTCAAAAGAAGACAGAAAAGCACACACACATGTTATATGCATATAAAGTTTAAAAACAAGTACAAGTGGACTGTTGTTCAGTTGTGGTAAGATAGAGAAAAATGAGTGATGATCGTAAATCATCAAAGTGGTTCCCAAGGAAAGAAGATCCAGGGAACAATTGAACTGTTTCTTTTAGACCTAGGTGATGGTTTTACTTTGTCTTTATTCATCTCTCATATACACATTCTGTACCTTTTTCTGTATCATACTTCACCATTGTTTATAAAAGCAACACAAAATTAATACCAGGTTAATGGCGCACTACCTAACTACCACTATTAATATATATTTAAAAACCAAGCTGTCATAAACAACTGTGTCTCACCAAATTCATATTACATAATAGGAGCACAACCCCTACTATAGCTATCAAGGAGTTAAAGCTACAAACTACTTGAAGAAGGAAATTCCTACCAATGTCTGAAAATTTTTAAATGTAAGAACGCATCGTTAGATTCCCCCAATGACTAAAGAAGCCAAGAAGTCTCAACTTTGCTTCTTGTTCGATATAACGGTAGGAATCGCTCTTAAAATTGATAACATGGAAACCAACAAGCTAAGTGAAAGTCAGTCACACACGACTATGTACAGAATGATTCCATTTATAGGACATATCCAGAACAAACAAATTAGAAACGGAAGGTAGGTTGGTGGGTTTAAATGGAGAGGGACTGCTGATGTGCAGGGGTTTTAGGCAGGGGGAGGATATAGTGTAGTGATAAATATCTTAAGTTCTTAATGTTGCTGATAGGTCCTCGGAAACAGACTTTAAGAGAAAAGCAAGTCCTTGAATAACATTGTTTTGTTCAATGTTGGCCAAGATATTTTTTTTCCCTCATCAACATATGAACAAAACAACCCTATTTGAGGACCTGTAATACAGTAAAACAAGTGAACTGTCCATTCTAAATGGGTAAATTAGATGATACATGAATTTTATTTCAATAAAGGGGTTATTTTTGAAAGTGACAATACACTGTCAATAGTTATCTAAACAACGCACTGATATGGAATGCTTGATATCATTTGTGAAAAACAAAAAGAGATAATATAAGCTTAAGGATATACTGAAGCAAACATTAGCAACAGGTGACAGTGGCTGCCACTCTAGAGAAAAATCATCCTGGCAATTAAGGGTAAGAGGAAAACTCACTTTTCATTGCATATCCTTTGGTTCAATTTAAATTTACAAACACGCATCATTTTATTTTTAAAAGCAAACAAACACTTACTAGGTGAAACTTTATTTTTCACTGATTGATTTTTCTGAAAAGGAAAAAACACCTAAAAGAAATATTTACTTACAATTCATCAGGTCTGTAAGGAGGTGGACTTTCAAAAGGCCTTGAGGACATGGCTGATGTCAATGGTCACCTGATCTTCCAGCTGAGCAATGCCTGGTGCCTCCCAAGATAAGCCAATCTAAGCAACATAAGTAGGGTAATGGCATTACTACCGAGCGCAGTTTCCTTGCATCACTAAGAAAACGAACGATACCAATCACACGTAACCTTTCACTCCATGGTTATTTCTCTTTCCTTCCCACTGCTATTTTTACATGTTGGACCATTAATTCCTTGAACACAGGAAATCACTGAGCACAGGAATCATTTAGCTACTCATTCTCAGAGCACTTCACATCATGTTTTACACATAGCTGGTATGCAAATATTGTTTAAAATTGAAATTCTAAGTTGTAGTAATAACAGTTCACAAAGCTTTTACAGAACAGATAAAAATGGCATTTTTAAAAAGAAATTGTCTCTTCAACAAACAAGGGAGATATGTAAAATAAAGGAAAATTTCTTAAAATGTTTCCTATTACTTTTCTAAGTTCATACAAAATGAGCCTACAAATAAAATGCATATATAGCAGTGTCCAGCACATACTAACCCCCAATGCAACAACACCATAATCTAATTGGCTAAAAAGATGTTTTTACATTAAAAATAATTACAAAATGCACCTAGGAATGGTAAGATGGGACATTTTCCCCTTATTTTCTTTTTTAAATCTGCAAAATTGAATGTAATTCTGCATAACAAGGAAAAAACTTTATCAAACATAATTTGTATGTGTCCTCTCAGAAAAAAAAGTGAATCATTTTTTCCTAAAATTCTTAAACATCTGAGAGATGAAAGTTTGTCCACCATGGGAGCTTGTGGAAATTGAGTTTGAGAGACAATCTTTCAGAAGGTCACAAAGAAAACAGCAACTATAATAGGCATTTTGAGGACTGAACGACAAGATAAGGTGCAGTTTGGGGATAACAGAGAAGACTCCGAATGGAAGAGGTGGAAACTAAATGGAAGAGAGAAATGGAGGGAGGAAAGACACATGTGAGCAAGATCTAAAAGAATATTCAATATTCTGAGAATATTAACATGTTTAATATTTTTTCCTTTCCAAATACACTATGTGCAAGTGTAGATTATTAACTTAGCAACAATAAATCAATTCAAACTCTAAACTCTGTTTTTTAAAAGCAATAGCAACTATCCCCCACATCTTAAAGGACAATTCCAAACAATAAATTATTCAAATACATAGTAGGTAAGATCTCAAAGATGAAAATATATTAATAGTAACACCAACACACTTAATATAATTTTCCAGACAGTGAGAGAAAACAAGTTTTGCTTTTTAAAAAATGCTTTATTGGGGCCTCCCCGGTGGCGCAGCGGTTGAGCACTGGGTTGCGAAGCTGCCCGCAGCCTCTGCAGCGCTGGTTCGATCCCCGGCTGCTCCCCGGCCACTCCCCGGCCACCGGAGGAGGGTCCCACATGGCGTGCAGACCTCTCCTGCCACCCGCTGCTCCCCTCAGCAGTGTGCTTTGGTCCTTCTGCCTGCTCTGCTCCCCGCTCTGGCTCTGGTGAATTCTCTCACCCTCCCGCGCCTCTGACTGTACCCAGTGCTTGTATGTATGTATGTATAAATAAATAAATAAATCTTTAAAAAAAAATGCTTTATTGAAATAGGATCAGAAAGTATACAAATTGTAAGTATATAATCGAGCTCTATAACTGACACCCAAACACACATATAAATGAGCAATTTAGGCCAAAATGTTACGGTACTATAAAGGAGTAAAAGTCCAGACTAAGTGTCTTCCTAATTGATGCTTAGAAAAAGACAAACTGGGGGGCCTCCCTGGTGGTGCAAGGGGTTAAGACACAACCCATGAAGCTATCCGCAACCTCTGCTACTCTAGTTCGATCCCCGGCCAGGGAGCTAACCCACATGGCGCAGCAAATCTCTCCTGGCTTGCCAGCTGCTCCCCTCAGCAGTGTATTGCAGTCAGTCTGCTGTTCTGTTCCCTACTCTATCTTTGGTGAATCCTCTCACCCCCCTGCACCTCTGGCCTGTACCTCAGTTCTTGTATGCATAAATAAATAAATCTTTTTTTTTTTAAAAAAAGGCAAAGACAAACTGAATTTAAACACTAATAAAATATGGGAACCTATTTCTGAAGCTGAGTGTCCAATGGCACTGGCAAACTGACCTTAGAGGAACTTTACCCTTGCACAGCTAGGGCTCACTTATTCAAGATGATGCCAAAAATCATAGGGTCAACAGCAGTTTTTAAAATTCTAAATGAATCCAGACTCAGGCTTAAGTTGAAGTTTTGTCCAAAATTCAGACAACAAAATTCCTTTCCAAAATGTTCATGGATTCAGAGTTCAGTTAACATGTCTTTTCTAATAGCAGAGATTTAAAATTGTGAAGCAAGTAGTTTTATATAGATAGGTGATTAAAAACAAGTCATGCCATACCAACTTCACCTCCTCTTTTGCAAAGGTTGGAAGATAAAGGGAATACAGAGAGAATTCTAAGATTTTGAATACATTCATAGGAATGCATGGTTCAGTATGGTTGACTAGCTAGATTTCTACAAGGCTGAACAATGATATCTAGACAGAATGAAGGGAATGGACCATTTATGTTCACCTGGAGGGAGCTCTCCAGTGGTGACCAAGGCAAAGTAGACGAGACAAGCGCATACAGATTTGCAGCTGAATGCTGGAAAGGATTACAAACTCACTAGTTACAAGTACATCAATATTGGGCCTCCTGGTGGCACAAGGGGTTACGCACCGCACTAGAAGCAATCCTCAGCCTCTGCAGCACAAGTTCAATCCCTGGCCGGCCAGGGAGCAACCCACATGGCGGGGCAGACTTCTCCTGTCTCACCAGCTGCTCCCCTCAGCAGTGTCTATCTCTGGTGAATCCTCTCACTCCCCCACATCTCTGGCCTGTACCCCAGCTCTTGTATGCATAAATAAATAAATCTTAAAAAAAAAAGTACATCAATACTGACCAAGTTCTTTATAATGCTACAATGGTGCCCCCTAAAACAAACCCACTGTCTTTAAAAAGCTCACAATCTGAGAGGACATATTCCTCATCTCCTTGAAGTCATCCTCCTCTAGGTTGGGGTAATTAATTAAGGTGATATATTAAAGATAAGCAAAAACATTCTCAGAAAAGTGGCTATCCTGAAAGTGAGAAATTTCAGTATTTTGACATTTACATATATTATATCCATTTTAAAATACTGGGGGCATGAAAAAATTTTACAATTCAGTTTAAAAAATCAATAGTATAAATACTGGATACGGGAAATATGACAATAACCATTCCCTTTTAAAAGTTCATTTCCTTGGTGAGACTTTAAACAAAAGGTAAGAAGCTGTCCCACACTGGGACAGTATTCAGAGTTAGTAGTTAGATAGGGGAATGATAGTTATTAAAAAGTAATAAACCAGGCCTCCCCGGTAGCACAGCAGTTGAGCACTGGGTTGCCAAGCTGCCCTCAGCCTCTGCAGCGCCGGTTGGATCCCCGGCTGCTCCCCGGCCACCAGGTGAGAGTCCCACATGGCGCGCAGACCTCTGCTGCCGCCCGCTGCTCCCCTCAGCAGTGTACTTCGTCATTCTGCCTGCTTTGCTCTTCGCTCTCACTCTAGTGAATTCTCTCACCCTCCCGCGCTTCTGACTGTACCCAGTGCATGTATAAATAAATAAATAAATCTTAAAAAAAAAAGTAATAAACCTCTGTATAACACTGAAGTTTGTACATCACTTTCTAACTAGGTGCCTCTCCAGGAAGTTGCTTAAGATTTGAAGAAGGTAGAAAAACCATGAGTTAAGAGAAATGATTGGAATAACAGGAAATGTTTGGCCTGGAGAATTTAGCATTAGAAGGACCAATATGGCAGCCTTCAAATAGCTGTACTGTCTTTGTAGTCCTTTTAAAAAAACAAACAAAACAACACTGGGTCAGTTTCAACTCAATGTTAGGAAGTCTCTCCCTCACCCTGATGTACACACCCTCCAAAAGTAATGAATAACAATTTGATCTCATGCCATTTATACAAAGCTTAAGTTGTTTGATATTTTGGGGGGACTGGACTAGAAGACTTACCTCTAATGTCTCTCTCAAGGCAATACATGACAGTGCTTTAAGCCACGGCCAAGCAGAAAGAAAACCAGGAACAAACTGCTGCCCAAAGCCATGCAGAGCAACATTAACAGTCTCCGGTCAGTAAATATGTGTTGAGTGAAGGAAAAAATAAAATGAGAAAAAGACCACAGATTTTGGCCTACGGGGCTCCCTGGTTACCCTCACCAAACCTGTGTCTTGACATAAAATCAAACAGCTGAGTAGGGATCAGGAGCAAAAGGGAAGGAGCAGATTCTTATAGACTACATTAAGCCAAGAGGCAACTAATGTTTAAATATTTTTTAAAAAGTTCTCCCTTGAAATTGTTTAGTGTCCAAAAACTGTCTTACTGGATAACTAAGCTAGGACGAGAAAGGAAGCCTGAAAATGCTATGTCCCGAAATTATTTAAAACAAACTGTCAATAAGGAAAAAATAAACCTTATTATATTTAAGAACAGTTTGTTCCTTTTTGATCACATGCAATAAAATTTTTAATTTTCCTTTAAGAAGTTTTAAAGTTATGCCTGATATTATTAAATGACTCTGTTTACATTATAGGTAAATTGTTAGTAAGTTGCCTAAAATTTAAAAATTAGGCAGAGTTTGAAATAGACTAGTTCTGTGTGAGAAACTGCATTTTAAATAAGCTCTCCAAATGATTTTGAAGCCTCAAATAAAGGCATTGCTCCAAAGTATGCTTTGTTCTTGTGGGTTTCCATCAGGAGTGTCCAGATCTTTATATGGCAGGTGACTGTCACTCAGGTCTCAGCTCAAATGTCATCTCCTCAGAGATGCCTCCCTACTACCCACTCTATACACCAAACCTGTTTCTTTTTCGGAGCAAAATATTTTTTCTATTTTCCTGCCACCATTTCCATCCCAAGTGGACTATCAGCTTCACAAGCATTTAGATATGTCTACACCAGTCTTTTTTTTTTTTAAACATTTATTTATTTATTTATACAAGCACTGGGTACAGTCAGAAGTGTGGAGGGTGAGAGAATTCACCAGAGCCAGAGGCAGAAGGACAGAAGTACACTGCTGAGGGGAGCAGCGGGTGGCAGGAGAGGTCTGCGTGCCATGTGGGACCCTCCTCCAGTGGAGGGGGAGCAGCCAGGGATTGAACCGGCGCTGCAGAGGCTGCGGGCAACTTCGCAACCCAGCGCTCAACCGCTGCGCCACCGGGGAGGCCCTCTACACCTGTCATTTTAAAAAAATTCCTGATCCCTAGAACTAGTATCTTGTACAAGTATTTGATTTGTACAATAAACAGCCTATATTAGATTTGGGATTTCAATCTAGCAGTGAATGCCTTGAAGTTCTTCAGATAACTAACCCGGAAACTACAATCCCTCAAGTTGAGTTCAAAGAAAGTACTTAAGAGGTTACACAGTCTGAGGGACAGGGCAAAAAAAAAAAATGGATAAACACAACCTTATGGACATCACCAGGGAACTTGTTAAAAAGGCATAATTTCAGGCCCCACTTTTATTTATTTATTTATTTATTTATTAAGATTTATTTATTTATGCATACAAGAGCTGGGGTACAGGCCAGAGATGCGGGGGGGGGGGAACGGTGAGAGGATCCACCAGAGACAGAGTGGGGGACAAAATAGGCAGAATGATGGAAATACACTGCTGAGGGGAGCAATGGGCGAGACAGGAGAGGCTGCTGCGCCATGTGGGTTTCTCCCTGGCCAGCCGGGGATTGAACGCGTGCCTCAGAGGCTGCGGATTGTTCCGTAGTGCAGTGCTTAACCCCTTGCACCACCAGGGAGGCCCACAGGCCCCACTTTTAACTTAAGGATCAGAATCTGCATTTTACTAAGATCCCCAGGTGATTCATACCACGAGCAACACTGGGAAGCACTGCATTACAGAAGAGCTGCAAGCTTGGAAGCTAAAACAAAAGGCAAAACCAATGTCTACATGGTATTTTTATTTTAATGTTTTCATAAATAATGATGTGGATAAAAAAAGGCACTAAATATTCCAAGTAAACCTTGAAATGCAACTGAAGAAATTCCCTCTGCAAGGTTTCTGGGAAAGTGAAAGATACTGTAGCTAATAAACGTGTGACAATATATGTCATTCCCTTGAAAGGGCTGTAATTCCAACATTATCTCGAGAAGAAAACAGGCAGAATTTTACCTTTACATCAAGTAAGATGCAGAAAATAGGACACCATAGGGACTAGTGAAAAGTAGCGAATTCCAGAAAAATTCCCCAAATCTGGTTCTGTTGCTAGAATACCAATAACAGCCTGCTTTTTAAAAATACCTGCTCTGATTAGCTGAAATAGTTTTCAAGTCAGTCCATTCATTTGTAACGTTTCGGCAGCAGGTATTTGCTCACCTTTTAAATGGGAGTACTAGCAATATCTACCTTTTAAACTTGGGCAGCAGAGTGCCTCCCACACACGAAGTACTGCCAGTCATTTCCCTAAATAGCCTGGAAGCTATCCAAATCTCCCAACTGTCCTCTCCAGCACCTCACAAAGGAAGCACCCACCAACTAAATAAATGAAAAACTATAAAAGCCAATGTGTTATTTAGTCTGAGGCTCCACCATTAAAATGTCTTTTAAAACACATCCCTAAGGGAAAAATAGATTTCTCGCGTACAGTGCAAAAGAAATACTATTGCACTCGACAATGCGGAGTTTGAGAATTCTACCTCCCGTCTAGAAAGAACTAGTTTTCAATCACAACATGAACCGCCTTAGTGCCTTCATAGAAAGGGTTTCTTTTTTCTAAGGATCCCAATAATACACTTGTTGTGCGTGGGAGCCACAAGCTAAGCTGCAGGCAGCCTCCTCCCTGCCCCGGGTCATTCCCCAGGTGGACACTTTGCCCGGCGCGCCAAGGCCGGACTTGGGATGTCCCGGCTTCTCCTCGGGCTCAGTCGCTCCACCTGGGACTCGAGGGGCTCGGGCCGTCTTTCCAGCACCAAGATGCAGAGGCCATTTTGGCCCCTCAGCCCACCTCTCCCGCACACTTCCTCCGACGCAACATGTCGGCAGCCGTGACCTCTCTTCCCTGGCGGTCTCAAAACAACACGGCCCCGCCGGACGCCGACCCCGGAATCCGCGCGCCCCCGTCGCGCCCAGGAGCACCCCAAGGGTTCGCGCCTGCCCAGCAGGGACCGCCCGCAGGCAGGTCCGGCCACCTGGCGGCGGCCTCTGTGGTCACGGGTGAGAATCCGCAGCGCGAGCAGCTTCCCTCGAAGTACAGCCTCTCTCGAAATGCACTCCCCGCCCCCGGCTCACATCGACGCGGGCTCCTACAAAGTGCATTTAAAGTAGACGGTCGACCCACACCGCGACTCCAGGACTATGGCACGAATTACACCCGACCACCCCGCTCCCAGGATACCTAAGGGGGTGGGGTGGGCACGGGAACCGCGAGGTCTCGGGGGATCTAAGATGCCCCGCCCGGGCCGGCGAGGCCCCCTCCCTCCAGCCCTGTGGAGGCGGCAGCTGCGTCCCTCTCCTCGGAACTGCCGCCGGAGGGCTGAGCGCGGGTTCCTCACGGGCCACGGAGCTCCCACTCATCAAAACGAAAAGTTGCTGGCGCCGCCGGAGCTGGTGGCTTTACGCTTCCCCGCCGAATGCCCCGATCGCTGGCTCCGAGCGGCACCTCGCCCGGAGAGGCGCCCAGTGCGCCTCCCAGTGCGCCCAGCGCTCATCTCCCCGCGGACCCGCGCCTCGCCGGCCCCCGCGAGCCCCTGCCCTGAGGCGAAACCGCCACCGAAACCGGCGCTGGACGGCCTCCCCCCGCGCCTCCACCGCCGACCGAGGCGCCGCGGTCTCCCCGCCGACCCTCTGGGGCCACCGTGCGCCCCGGGCACGCGCCCAGCTCTCACCTACTCCCTGCAGCAGGGCCCGACCCACCAGGGACGGCGAGAGGCCGGGAGCGCGCTCACCTGGCGGGCGCACCTGACGCCGGGCCGGCCGCGGGCTGCCACCGCGGACCCGAGACGGACGCGGCCGTCCTCCCCCGCCCCACCCACCGCCCCTGCCCCCGGGCATGCGCACCAGCGCCCGGCCCGCTGCGGGAGCCCCGGCTCCGCGACGGCGAGTCCCACCTGCTGCGCCCTGCGCCGGCCCCTGCGCGCTGCAGCCGGTTCTCTGGCGAGTCCTGCCGCCTCTCTCAGAGGGAACAGAAGGAAGGAGGTGGACGCTGGCAGAGGGTGTGGTGTGGCCACCTCCTCCCTCAGTGACCCATTCACCTGAAACTCGGGTGGGTGGAGGAGGGAGCAGCGGAGAAGGAGGCGGGAGGAACCTGCCCGTCTCTGCACACCCTGAGCGCGCGGAGTTAAAGGAACCGCGCGGCTCTCGGCGCGGAGGCGGGGGGGCCCGCCTCCCTGGGGGGGACTGCGGCGTCTCGAGGGTGGGAGGTGAATTTGAGCTCCCTGGGGCGCGCTCGGAGTTCCGCCGGCTTCGGCAAGAGAGGTCTGGAAGGACTGTACCCCCCTCCCCTCAAGAGGACCCGAGGGTGCTGAGCCCCCTGGCAGGAGAGACGCGAACACTTTCCTAAGCCGAAAATTTGATTCAAGTTTTGGTGGAATAAAATTTCCAGGTGTGGGAGATTTTCAAGTTTTGCGTAAGTTTAGGAGCTGTGGAGCTAGGGGGAGAAAATAATTTCATTACTCAGAATTGGTAAATGAAGGTGTCGGTCAATTTTCCAGCAAAATTAAGTGCACAGCCCGGTACGCACACCACTTCGGGGTCTCCTGGTCCACCTCCCCACATTTAACAATTACATGTTTGAGAGTTAGCTCTTGGGGGAGAATGGGAGGATTTAAACCACTTTAATATTTTCTTTGACATAAAAAAAGTACCAATACCCTAGTTCTGTGTGCTGTGTTTGTTGACCTGGGGGCTGGTTCCAAAAGAATGTTTACTTAGGAAAATTCAGCCTGTACTTAAAGATGTGTACACTTTTACATAAGTTTGTTGTATTTCAATGTATTTTTTTAAGCTGTACTACTCCAGAATGGCAGTTTTAGTTCTTGCAATTTATCTGCGTTGAAGGCTAGAATTTAGGCTTCTTAACTCCTGCTTCACTTTGTGTTCCAATCTGGAATGTCAGCATTACTGATACATTTCTAATAAAATCCCACCCACTTCTCTGCCTTTATGTAGTTAAAAATGTGACTCTCCCATACATTAGATCTTGACGCACAATTCAACAGTTAAGGAAGTAAAAGCATTATATATAACAAGGTATTTTAAATAATGACAGCCTTAGCGGGTAATTAATTTAATTGGTATTCTTCATGAAGTCATTGGTACAATTATTTTAATATGACTATGTCATTTTTTGAATGATGCAGTTTAAATTGGTGTTGTTAACACTCAGGAAATCAGGTTAATCCTCTTAATGTTCGATGTCAGATTACTGAAATCTCCAAACATTCCATTTGGTTTATAATTAAACAAGGGAACATTTCCTAATACTCTCAGATTTATAAACACATGTCTATTATTTTATAGTGTACTTTGATGTATTCTGAAGAGAAGTTGCATTGCCGCTTTTTAAAATTGAAATATATTTCACATATCACTTAATTTTTAAGTGTACATGCAATTCAGTGATTTTTTTATTTAAATTTTTAAGTGAAGTACTATTGGTTTATATCATTGTTACTATTTTGGAAGTATAGGCTCTTCCCCTTCAGGTATAGTTACCATAACAAGCACACCACAAAGGCACCCGTAGCCCTCCATCACACACTAATGTGCTCCCCCCACACTATTCTAATCCTCACCCTTCTTCCTCTTCCCCTCTGATGCCTAAATTCTATGGTCAGCTTTTCCAGGTCCATCCAAATGATGTGAGTTTATCTTTTTTCATCACTGAGCAGTATTCCATTGTATATACTTACCACATCTTCTTGATCCACTTATCTGTGTTTGGGCGCTCAAGTTGTTTCCATTGCCCAGCTGTTGTAAATAGTGCTGCACTAAATATGGGAATGCAAGTTTCCCTTTTTTTTTAAAGGAATTTTTATGTATGCATACAATACTGGGGTACAGGCCAGAGATGTGGGGGATGAGAGGACTCACCAGAGACAGAGTGGGGAGCAGAACAGACAGATCGACTGAAATACACTGCTGAGGGAAGCAGCAGGCGAGTCAGGAGAGATCTGCTGCGCCATGTATGTAGCTCCCTGGCCAGGGGATCAAACTCATGCTGCAGAGGCTGCAGATATCTTCATAGGTTGTGTCTTAACCCCTTGCGCCACCAGGGAGGCCCTATTTTTCTTATTCCCACTATAAAACTAAATCTAAAGGCATGATGTGTTAGGATAGAAAGTTGTGATATTTTACCAGTTTTCCTAATCCACTCAGCAACCATTTCTGAGGGCCTCACATGTGCACAGTAGTAAACAGAACCTCAAAATCCCTGCTTTCAGTGAAGCTTACTCTCTAGTTACTGATGAATTCAGGCATATGGAATAATAGACTTTAAGTTGCACTATGTGAAATTGGAGATAGTTGATCATTTATAATTACAAAAAATAACTTTATATGGTTCAACTTACATTTCTGTCGGAATGTTGTATATCATTTTTATTGCTTTCAGATTAATTTTCCAAACAATGCTCATAAGATTGAAATAAAAAACTGTTCTTTCAATCATACTGAAGAGTATGCATATTAGTTAGTAGTTGCAAATTTACAGACAGGAAATCCAGCCTTAAAGCCTAAACACATCATCATTCTTCAATAACAAAACAAAATCAACTGAATGTGAAATGATACCAAGTACAGTATAATCATGTTATGTAAATTGTAAAAACTCACAGTAGTATTATCAATACTATGTTCCACTATTAAATATTAATTGATGAATAGCCTCCTGACTTGGAAAAAAATATTTTCTAAAGACATGTGGTTAATGACTTGTTGATTCTACCTGCAGTTGAATGATAAGGTAAAAAAAAAAAAAATTCTGTCTTTATACATAAGGAAAAAGTTAAGAGTCAGAATATGGTATCAGAAATTTGAGTTCAAATCTGTGTTGCCACTTATTTTCTGGATGGTATTGTTCCTTAAGGAAAGACTTAAGGGAAAGCTTAAAACCTAATTTTCTCACTGTAAATTAAGGATGATAATAAATGTACTACTTTCATAAAATTATTGGAGACACAGAGACCGTTCATTCAGATAGACCAAAACAAGACCTGGTAAATTAGTAAGTCATTGCTATTTCTGTCTCAGTGAAATAATCCTTATCACACAGTTATGTCATAAATATTTGTTGAGTAAGCAAATACAATGTGCCTGTGAATTTGTGTCTATCTCTCCCATAGTCTACTGCCTTTGTGAAAATGACAAATTCCTTAATGGTATCTCAAGGCTTACAACTCTACTACTAGGCCTTAGAAGAGAAAGGACAGGACATCAGAATATATCCATTATGACTCACCTGCTTAGTAAATGAATTAAATGATCAATATTTGTTCAAGGGCAACTTTGTTTGGAGTTAGTGATGACCTAGCAAGAAGGGCCTCTAGTTCCCCCACCCAATCAGGGGAGTATCCCAATCCACGTAGAACAATTTCCTTAGAAATATTTATCAATGAATTTATGGGGAAGTAACCATGAAGGCAATTTTTAGAAGATGATACCAAATGGTAAGTAAAGCACTATCTCTTCAATCCTTATATATAAAGCAAGATGGTCCCAGGAGATCCCAAGGTTAAAGTCAGCACCTGACCCAGAACTTAAACAAGTGGAATAATGATAACGGTAATCACCATCATTTACTCAGCCTAACCTTGTACCAGGCACTGTACTCAGTGCTTTATGGAATTTTTTGCTTGTTTTGTAGTTCTATGATGACTTATTTTCCCCATTTTTAAGTAACAAACTCAGAAAATTTTCATCATTCACTCAGGATATCTTGCTAAGTTGTAGAGTCAGGATTAAAGCATAAGTTATCTAATTCCAGAACTACCATGTTAATAGTTTTAATATACTTTAGGAATGGTTTTTGTCTCATATCCAAAAGTCTTAAAACTGTAGAAAGATTTCAAAGTGCAATAGAAAAAGTAATCCTAAAAAGACTGATACAATGGAATATTATGAATGAGTATGAATCCATTAGAGCTACTGCTAACAACATGGTGAATCTTTCAACCAGGATACTGAACAAAATAAACAAGTATGCCACTGTATGATTCTATTTATGTAAAGTTCAAAAACAGGGCAGGGGCCTCCCTGGTGGCGCAAGCGTTAAAGTCTCAGCACTATCAAGCAATCTCCAGCCATTGCAGCATGAGTTCAATCCCCAGCCACGGAGCTAACCCACAAGGCACAGAAGACCTCTCCAGTCCTACACACTGCTCCCCTCAGCAGTGTATTTCAGTGGATCACCCTCTTCTGCTCCCCACTCTCTCTCTGGTGAATCCTCTCACCCCCCCAACCCTGCACCTCTAGCCTACCCAGTTCCTGTATGCATAAATAAATAAAAATAAATCTTTAAAAAATAATAATAAAAAAAGTTCAAAAACAGGTAAAACTAAATTATGTCATGTGGAGATATATATGTATGTATATATAATTAGCAAAGCTACAGAAACCAAAACAAAGAAATATTATCATAAATTCAGGATAGTGTCACCTCAAGGAGGATAAGAAAAGGTAAGGATGGGGAGGGCAGAGATGCACTTGTGGTGCTGGTTATGTTCTGTGAATTTATGTTTTCTGCTTTGAATTTTGAAGAATTTTGAACATCAATCTAAACATTTTCCTGTATTTAAAAATAATTTTTAAATTGTGCACATTATGCACATTTCACGGCTCTTAGCCTTACAACAATATATTAAACTATACACATTTTGTGCACTTTTTGCACAAGGAATTTTGCATTTTACAATAAAAGTTCTATTTAAAGTAATGGGGTGTGGTGACATTCTTAGAAGGTTGTTGAAGACCAATGTCTAGGTGTTTTGTTTTGTTTTTTAAATAACATTCCTTAAATACCAGCAGAAAAGAACTTTATAAAATCAGAGTAAATTAAGATCATATGAAGAGAGAGAGGATTTTGATATGGGGCAAAATACCACCACAATTCTATGGATGATGCAGATAAAGAGATTTTGAGCTGATTATTTATTTATTTATTTTTGAGATTTATATTTATTTTTATTTATTTATGCATACAAGAACTGAGGTGTAGGCCAGAGGTGCAGGGGATGAGAAGATTAATCAAAGACAGAGTA